ATTCACTCTTACATTTGAGTTACACTTGAGGTTTTCAGTTTATATAAAACTTGGATTGTCATTTGGGTCATCATATGCAAAACCATACTTTCAATTTTAGGTCTTAGAAAGATTAGCGATAGATTTGTACTATACAAGAGAGAACACATTTTAGCCAAGAAACTGATAGTAAGAAACTAGAGCCAAAAGCTTTATCTCACATTTGGAAGAGTAGTGGGGCTTGTGTTGTTCCAAATGCATACTCCATTCTCATCTCCTATCCTTGTATTTTTATTTTCAGCTTAAACAAAGCACCAGAATACATTTGAAAGCTGATACTATGCAGAATTTTGATACAACTCATATTTCAGATGATTGTAGCATTCACAGATAAATAGAGGTGGTTAATTATGTTCAGTTTTATGTCTTAGGACAAAATAAATATTGCATTCACTTCACTTCTGTGATGGTTGTGTTTTCTGTGATTGTACAGCTTAGAAAATAATGTCAGTGTATTGGATTTGTGTAATTTTGAAAGGTAACTCCTCTTCCAACTAAAGACAAAGCTAACCTGGCTAATTCATAACTCAAATAATGTTAGTGTAAAGAATATTGTAAAGTTTACCATATGTGTGAATTACAGAGAGAAGAACTGCCTATCTGAATATATGAATGAAAAAATTAGAAGTTATTTAACCTTTTTTGGCAGCTGCTTCTTCTTCCTTTTTTTTCTGTTCTTCAATAATTTTCATCTTTTCTTCATATTCATCAGCTCTTGTTTTCCATTCAACCCTGTTGTTTTGAAGACCATCAAACATGGGTGTAATTTCCTTGTGAAATCTTGAGAATTCCTATGCAAGCAATTGAATGTAATGAATTAGAAATGTGAAAACACTGTTGATTTGTAAAGTATGAATTTCTGGAAATGCTGCTTTGCGGAGAAAGCATTTGCTTTAATTTTTCTATTAAAAATAATTATTTCTGTATGCTGTATGAATTAAGTTTAAATGATAGTTTGTGGTTTTGACTTGTTTGTTTGTTTGTTTTGCAACTACTCGTTCCATTTCTGTTAGCTGGTTTTCTATAGAATTGAAAAGATGTTTTATAATAATGCCACTATCTGCCAGTGCATGTTTGTGAGCATGTTTTTGGCCAAGCAGTGGTGGCATATTATTGAAAAGATTGTGTTGGGATAATAATGCCATATTGCACACATACTGTTAGAATATATCTGAGTTATATGCTGCACATTTTAGTATCTTCCCTAATTCACATTTGAAAGTCTGGTTGATATAATAAAATTATAACTTTGATACTTGATATTTCCTGATATGTTTATCAATATCAGGATATAGAAAAAGTCTAGTATTTTGTAGTATATTCTAGGCAGATTAGGATGTACCTAATTATGCTGAAATATTGCATGATACTTTTTTGTGTAACATTTTGAGATAATGTTAAAGGCTAAATGGAGATTAAGAAAGTTGGCATTGAAGTGCTTTCCAGAAAATATGCGGTGGCTCTCCTTACAGAACATTGTGAATTTTCTGTTCCTTTAGGTGTGCCATTAACTGATTTCTCTAACCATCTACATGTCATGTGTTTATATTAAGTAGGACTTTAAAGAACCAGAGTGGGCTTTCTAATTCAGTCTTTCAAGGAAGGTAGTAACAATAACTTAGTGCCCTCCAGTTGCATTGAGATCTTCTGTTGGTAACCATGTCTTGAATGTGCTTTGTGAGAGCAATTCTTCTAAATCTAAAAGACTGAAAAAATGTGGTAGTGATAGCGGTTTACCCAATAAATAAGAATCCTGCAACTGTCTAAAATTCAGTGGGAAAACAAACTAGAAGAAATGTTCTTACCTTGTACACAAAAGTGCACACAAAATCTATGAAACCAACTTGGAGCTTAGGTAGTTCATCACCTTTGTTTCTGTCCATCATGGGCTAGAACAGAATAGCAGTAATTTAGATCATGCAGAGATCATGCTTTTTGGTTATAATGAACTAATAATCATTGTTATCTATTCAGTATTTAAATAATAGACAATATTGCTTAACACAGTTGAATTATTTAGTGCTTACAATTGGTTGTTGCTGTAGTACAGTTCGTTCCAGGTCACCTTGCTCCCAAAATTCATTTGCAACCATGAGGGCAACCTGAAAAATCATAATTCAAAGGAAATGTATGCCATAAAATGTAGATCTGAATGAATAAATAAATGAAGAAAGGTAAGAACAAGGCTTTCCAGAAAAAGAAATAATAATAATGTTGATTGTCTCAGAACTGGCATATTACTGTTTAAATAAACATACTGTCGATTTACCACTAAGCTATTATTACTAACTTCACATCCACAGAAGAGGATTTGTTTCTTGCTAGCTGTTTTATTACTGAGTAGCTTAAAAAGTTCTCCAGAAATAGAGAGTTTTAGTCAAAGACAATAGAATTCTACCATTTAATCCTTGAGAGAGTTGAGCACTTCTGTTAGGAATTGTAAACACTTTCTGGTGTATTTAAGGCTTTCTCCAGCAAATGATTAGCTTCTATTTTTACATGCTGGCACAGACTATCTAAAAGATAGATTTGGGAGTTGAAATTAGATGATCTCTAAGGGACAAACCCAAGTCAATCTATGATTCTATGTTTTTCATGATTACCATCATCAGCAGTACCATGAAAATATTAGCAACACAACAGAATCTGTTAGTTCCTGTGATGCATAAAATCTTGGAATCATTGAATGGCTTGGGTTGGAAGGGACCTTAAAGCCCATCCAATTCCAAACCCCCTTCCATTGGCAGGGTTGCCACCCACTAGATCAGGCTGCCCAGGGCCCCATCCAACCTGGCCTTGAACATCTCCATTGATGGGGCATCCACAGCTTTCCTAGACAGTCTGTTCCAGTAACTCACCACCCTCTGAGTAAAATGTTTCCTCCTTAGAAATTACTTAGAAGACTCCACAACCATCTTGTGTTTTGATTATGCATTGCTAAAACCTATACCTGTAAAATTAATGGATGAATTTGAGCGTGATGGTCAGTAAGTACTGAAGTATTTGAAGTACTTAACTGCAAGGCAGTGTCACATTTTATTACTGAATTTATTCTTAGCATGATTAAGCTACTTTGAAGCACCAAGATCTACAGAATAGGTGCATTTAATTCAGTTTTTTTCTGTTGTGAAATCTGTACCTTAGAAATACCTGAAAAATAGCAGAAGTTGGATTACACTAATATAGTGTAAGTAACATTTAAGGACAGCTAGAACAGCTGACAGATTTGGGGAGGGCAGTTTTAGCTGAATGACAAGTAAAAAAGGGGATATAGCCCTTGTACTCTCAGTGATAGAAGCACCGAGCTTGATTTTTAGAAAGGCAGTTGGGTGCAAATAGTTATATATCTATCAAATTATAATAAGTATTGTGTTTGGGTTTTTTTGTTTGTTTGTTTTTTCATGACATTGGGCACAAGTGGGCAACAAAACGTAGCAAATGCAGGATTATCGGTTGAAAAGTACTTACCTTACTTTGCACCTCCCAAGGCTTGGTTATAGCAGACAAGTCACATCCGGTCATCATCATAGCCCTTTGAAAGCAAGGGGTAAAAATAATTAGAATGACGAAAGGGAAAAAAAAAAAGAAAAGCCACAACAGCAACAAAAAAAGCCACCAGCAAAAGTTCCATATTTTAAGCTATTTAGATAAATAAGATGCAATTAGATAACTTTTTGAGAAGACTTATTTAAAATCATGGTTATGCTCATCATCAGATGATAACAACAAATCTCAACTTGCATAACTTGCCCAAATACTTTTGAAATCTGTTTGTAGTTAACTGATTGAATAAAAAGCAAGATATTAACCACCTACATGATGACTTCCTTTTTGGTTGGGTCAATAGATATATATTTAATTGCCTCCTCTTCTGTTTCCATTTTTTCAATTGCATCCACAATCTTTTGAAACATAGTCCTTTTCCTGTGGAAACATACAGATAAACCATAAACAAAAATCCTGCATTATGAATAAAACAGAAAACAAATCCCATATTTCTCGTATACATGCTTTTCCAAAGTTGCATCCTAGTCATAGTAGTCTCAAACTGACACCTTCTTCCCCCTGATCTCTAAGTTTCCATTTAACCTAACACATTTATATTTTGCTGTATACCCCTGATGTATGAAGCACTATTTCAAAGATCCAATAACAAGTTTCCTGACTCTGCATATTAAACTGTTCAAAGTGACATTAAATGTTTCTTTACTATTATGTTTTCCTTCATTCCTTCCAGCATTTCATTACATTCCCTTCAGCTATGTAATTAAACATGAAAAGAGAAGCAAATACTAACAACTGTCTCCTCAAATATTCTAAAAAATCCTTGACTGAGAAGTACTCTGAAAAATCTGTCTTTTTACTGCTTAATGAATCTTTTAGTTTGCATTTCAAATGTAAGAAATAATGAGATAAGTTTTCATTGAAATTTAGTAATGGCCACTGAACATCTTACTGAATTGTTTCCAGGCTCCTAGCTTTAAAGCATCCCACTCATGAGACATCTGGACCAACAAACAAACAATAGTCTCAATAACCTTTACAAAAACATGTTATGATAGTAAAGTTGGGTGGATATTTTTTTATTTGAGGTCTTTGGCATATTTAGCACTGGGATCAGTTGATGTCTGTTTTTAACCCAGAATCTCAATTTCTTTTTCATAAGCATGCTCCTGTTCAATAAGAGTAATCGCAGTATGGTACACTAAATATCACACATGCAGACAATTTTATCATTAGGCTACAAAATTTACAATTCTGAAATATATCTGCTGTAACTTAATGCACATTTGAATTACCTACTAGATGTATACAAAGTATTATAGACACACTTTGAAATTTGAAAGATTATAATGAAAATAAGAATGTCTTGGTTGTTTTTTTTTTTAATGAGAATTAGACTTATTAAAAGCAGTTTAAAATACAGGTCTGTACTCTGCATATAACAAAAACTACAGCTGTAAATAGCATAGGACTGACATTTTTTCAGTAGGAAGTTACACAGAATTTAGTACTTACTTGAAATACAAAGCCAAGTCAGTTGCTATTATTGCAACTTCAAATAAGTGTAGAACGGTTTCAAACTGGCGCTTATTTAGGTTCTGGAAGATGTTTAAACTCTGCAAGATGGAAAGTTTACGAATTCAATTCCTCTTATAAAACTGTCTTTGCTTTGTACTCTATAGGCTGCCCGATAGGACAGTATACCAAAACTGTATGTATGGTCGACTATACGCTCTAAATCAAAATAACACAAGAAATGAAAAGTTTTTCAGAGGTGGCCCTCATTCAAAAGTAGTTTTTAAGCTTTTAAATACTGTTATTTATCTGTCAGTTAGAGCTGCAGAAATGTCTGAGACTGAGATACAAATATGCACATCCTGGTGTATATTTTTCACAACCATGTCATATATACTAACCAAATCTTTACCACCTTTTAAGAGGAAAGATGGAAAAGTGAAAAATGTTTTTGGAAGAAGAAAAGCGGGATCAGCTGGCACAGAAGCTGGGAGAGAAAACTAGAAGGAGTCAGATTGGGACTGCATGGAATCGTTAAGGTTGGATGGGATCTAAATAAATGGCTAAATACTGTGTAGGGAGATCCAAACTGCTGCCTCCAGAGGCTGCACAAATAACTAAATTCATATTGACTTGGACTGCTATTGTTATATTTAAATTAAAATAAAAAAAAATCACCTATATTCTATATAATGCATCAAGAAATGGCTGCTTTGTCTTGTTTCTTTGCCAGTCACATCCGTGGATCTGAGAGTTTTTCTAGACCTCTTCTTCCTGTTAGCCTGGCTCTGCACAATTGCCTGTGGTGTTACTCAGGCCCTGCTTCTGCAAAGTGCAGTGTCCTTTTTCCCAAGCAAAGGGAATGGAAGCACCACACCCCGGTTTCCCTTCTTTTCTTAACTGAGGAGGAACATGGGCATTGTGGTCCCCCTGTTCAGCACCTTCAAAATCCTGACAATCAAAAATCAATGGTTGTTCCCCATATCTCACAACTGAAAAAGTGCACCATCTCCATCAATAAAGGTAATTTTTATTAATATTATTTTAAAGTAACAGATCTGTTTTGTGGATGTTTTTCTCAGACATAGAAGTGAGTGCCTTCTATAGTGCTTGCTGCAAACAAGTGGGATGGAAGATCCTCAAGATTTCAGGTCTACACAGTTATATATTTTCATTATTATTTCCCTGAAAAAAATATATAGTAAATAGTTTTAAATAGACTTTTTGCTTTTAGCTAGGGCAGAGCCAGGCACTGCTGAGGGAGGAACGGCTGTCCCATGCAAGAGGTACAGGGCTCTGCAGGGCCGACATTTTGTTGAGCCTGAGGGGAGCAACATGGCGCCGCTGTTGCCCTGTGGAAATGCCTGTGCCCACCCACAGAGTGGAGCAGAACTCTGAACTGTGGCAGCAAAAAAGGGGAAAACCACCTGAGGGTGGCAGAAGGGAAAGGAGAAAGCATCTGCCTATTTCAAGAGAGATCTGCAGTAGGAACTGCCACAGAGCCATGATGCTGCCTGACCTGTTTTAAAGAGATGGGGTGGGGGGAGGGCCTGGTCTGGGGGTGAGGACACCCTCCGTAAACAGGAGCTCCATCCATTTGTTCCTCCCTGCCAGAGCCAGCAACTAAACTCAGACCTAACACAGGTGCAGCTGTTTAATTATAGTACCTTGTGTTTTCTACTCCAACTTCAGCTGTTTGTGAGAGGCATGTGAGTGAGGCCTACAGGACAAGCTGCTTTTCTCTAAAAGTGGACAGTGAGTAAGAATTTGGTTTAAACTCCTGAATTTGAGCATAATTTCTTAATCTGGAATTAGAGAAATGAATAAGGCCTGTAAACAATTTGTGATTTATTTGGATCTTTTGTGTTGATTGCTGTAAGTAGAAGATTCATGCAAACATACCTCATCTTGCAGTAGGGTTTTACTGTATTCCAGGTGATGTCTTTCTAAAATGGAAGAGCCGTGAAGCTTTGCTAGTGGAGCAGCTGATCTGTTAAAAAAGATATAATTGCTTATAGTATTTTGAGGCAATATTTGTGATTCAGAATTCAGATTTTTGGGATTAAAATACTTCTGCTATTGATCTGCTTATTCAGTAGCTTAAAATATCTCTTACACACTAGTATGAGGCAGAGCAAGAAGTATGTTTTTTGTCTTTGCTCTTGTGATGGTAAAGACAGATATTAGAGATTTCAGTGCCTGCTGAAAATCAGCTGTACTTTTGAAAACCCCTCTATTTAATCTTATATATTCCATTCTGCTGTTTGTTTAATCTATGTGATTTCTGCATATTTTAAAAATAATCTTAAGCCATTGTTTAGTATTTATTGTGTGGCGTGACTTTTATCTGTAATTACTGTGGAGCATGTCCCCTGTGATTTTAACTTAATGTATGTTGAATCTGAAGTAACAATATAATGGAATTTAATTCCTTTATCCCTTTGGCTCCTCCCTTCTCCCAGAATCACTGATTTATGAACTGTGCAAGTCCTGATTGCTCAGATGTGTTTAGTCTTATCACAGAGCTCAAAGAATCCCTCTGACCTTGGGCTAATCTTCAAGGTAATTCTGGTTCAGACTACAGCAGTGGGAGGAAGGGAGAAATATCCTATCTATGCTCCAGGTTGTTCTCCATGTTGAGAAGTGTATTTTCCTCCTTTCTTCCCTTGGCTAAAAAATTGTTTCCTGAGTTAAACCAAGGTGTATTGGTATAGGCTCCCTGTGTTTTCTGCCTTTGCAGATGAGGTCAACTTCCAGGCTGTAGTGCTAAAGCTGATGGGTTTTATAAATAGCTTTACTGTGTATGACCTCAAGTAGAGGGCTTTCAGCTAGGGAAGACCATACTAGGAAGATTTAAAAACCCCTTAAACTTATTTGGATGAGAGGCAGTCAGCTGAATAAGAATCAGCATCTGTCATACTATCTCTCCTACGTCACCTGGAGAATCCCAGAGAATAATCAGAAAATCCCCTAACGTCACTGCTCCAGCATGTGGTCTGAAACTCCTCTCCTGGGCTGAGTGTGTCCAGGGACAGAGGAGGAGGATGAATCATTCTGGAGATGCAGTTAGTGGAAATAATACTCTCAGAAAATTATCGTTTGAATCTCCTGGCCCACACAACATTCTGAGAATCCTGTGTTCTCTGGCTAGCACACAGAAGAACTACCAAATCACTCAAAAGACTAAACAGTAGATTGCTCACTCTTCAACAGTGGGCACTACCATGATTTGTAAAGCTGTAATAAACAGGTAAATTTAAAATAATATGGATTTATATTATTTCATTATGATAATTTACTAGCAACAAGGGAAAGATCACAAATAAGCCTTTTTGTACATTTAGAACACAAAGGAACATGAATTGCAAAGCTTAACCTTGTGGTATATAACTTACTGGTATGTGAGCCCTGTGGCAGAAACCAAGCTCATAGTTTTGAACTGTACATAATGTGAGGAGATCATATCTCAAGAAAGGACCTATATCAATAAGTAAACTCACTGGAGGGAGCAAAAAAGCTAGGCGAATCAGCCAGTAGAACACTGAGAAAAGAATGCACCTGAATTCCTGTCTCTTTCTAAGCTGGCCTTTGCATATTCTAGATCCTGAATCTTTCTCCAGAAAAATGCTTTTACCCTATCTTGAAAGATAAATAAAAAATTCCATTTAGGTACTTTCTACTCTTTTCATTGAAGCTAATTTTGACTTACCACCAGTGTAGTAAGACAGAGCACTGAAGTTTAATTTTGGAGCTTCCTGACCGAGGCAGTCAGATAAGTAATAGGAGTTCATCTGCCGTATGCTTAGATTGTCTATAGAGATTGATGATGCTTTCTTTTTAAAATCCTAAAAATTCCTTCTTGTGATAGTTAAAACAACTGACTATCTTAAAAATGAATTGTAACTCCAGCAGATCCTTCTAAGATTCTGCTTTTGAGGTTTCTCATTGTTTCAGTTGCCATGACAAATTCTCAGAGGCAGAAATCTTCTGTATGATGAATATCAATCAATGGCTTAGGTTGGAGGGGACCTTGAGGATTATCTAATTCCAACTCTCCTGCCATGGGCAGGGTTGTCACTCACTAGATCTGGCTGCCCAGGATCCGATCCAACCTGGCTTTATGTGCCTCCAGAGATGGGGCATCCACAGCTTCTCTGGGCAGCCTGTGCCAGTGCCTCTGAGTTTAAAAAAAAATAAAAAATAAAAAATAAAAAATAAAAAATAAAAATAAAAATCTGCCTAATAACTAACCTAAATCTCCCCTTTTTTAGTTTAAAGCCATTACCCCTTGTACTGTCATTATCAGATCATGTAAAAAGTTGGTCTCCCTCCTGCTTGCAAGCTTCCTTCAAGTATGGAAGGCTGCAATGATGTCTCCCTAGAGCCTTCTCTTCTTCAATCTAAACAAGCTCAGCTCCCTCAGTCTTTCTTCAAGTCCCTTCATGCTAGATATTCATGGAATACCTACAGTATATTTTTGCATGTGTTAAGTTCTTCCTCTTGCCACTCGAAGTACTGCACAGCCATATATTTGTATTTACCAAAACTGTTAATTTTACTTACTTCATTTGATACAAGTTATTGGTCCCTCTGTGATCAATGTCATGGCAGAAAGCAGCAGCAACCATGGCAAAGGCTTCTAGATCAGTGTAGTATTTCTTTATTCTACCTGTCTGTAAAGGAAAACAAACAATTATTACTGTGCACCTTCCTTGAAAGGAAAGCTAAGTAATGAATGTAAGGTTGATATTAGCAAAATTACCATCAGCAAAGTAAACATTGTTTGTCCCACGTTGAAGCCATGTCTCCAGTTGTGGTAAGTGATATCTCGATAACCTTTCCTAACTGTGTACATCCATCTTGTAAGGACCTAGTATGAATAAAAGTGGTTGAGACTGTGCTGTTCACTGAAATGAAATTATGGAATTTCTATAAAATTAATGGAATGTTCCATAAAATTACTGGAATAATATGTTTTTTTTTTAAATAAAAATAATTAAACTATGCATTATGTAAATGCATATTGATTTAATTCCTTGAAGAGGTCAAGTAAGTTCAGGATCAATTTAAGTCTTTATGACAATTGTGCAAATATTAAGAATGTTGTTATTCATACCACTCATGCTTTAGTATGGCTTACTCCTATAATAAGGAACCTACAATCAGTCTGCTATATTAAAAGAAATACAAACGACAAAATAAATCAAACCTCTGCTGGGACTTTGAACTTTTCAACAACATTTATCTCAAAGAACAGTCGTATTCCGCAAGTTATCAAGCCATGTTCTGTAACAGGAAAGTCACTGAAGCGGAATTCATATAGTTCTAAATCTTTGGGATCGGGTAATTCTTCTTTCTGTTAGGAAGAGTCAAAAGCAGAAGGATTTTTATGGCAAGTACAAAGTTGAACAAGCTGTTTTCTTACTTCATTGGGAACACTGCATAAGGACAATATGCTTACTGTATCTTCAAAACCTAATATGTATTACGTTTTGAAACACAATGGTGATACTAGTCTTCTTTTCCAAGAGGATAGGTAAGAATGTTGCCCAGATGGTTTTTCTTCCTGCCCTCAGTTTCAACACAATTGGTCGGGACCATCTCAGCATTTCCTCAGTGAGGAAATCTCAGGTCTTGGGGTTCTTCCTTCCTGGTATAAAATCTTGTGATTTCTCCACTTCTAGCCTGGTCTCAGAGTTGCAGTTCTCTTTCACAATCAAAATTATTCAACAAGCCCTTCTCTTCTTGGTAAATGTTGCCATTTCTTTTGAATCTTATGACTTATGAGTACTGATGGAGCAGTGACCAAAAAATAACCTTCCTAGAACAAAACATGGTTTTAATTTAACAGTAGAATGAAGTATGACAGCTTTTTTTTTTTAATGACAGAAGGCTTGCTTACATGCTTATCTACCACTAGCCTTGTCTTCTCTTGGAGAACCTACAGCCAAGCAAAGTTTCCTGTACATTTTTTATTCTCTGGCGTTCTGGTGGTTGCTTTTCTATGACCTACTCTCCAAATTAGTCTGCCATACCTTGTCTCCTATGACAATCTTTGTGTCTGTATTAACCTATGTACACTTAATAGAGAAACCTGTAGGGTTTGTTTGGCAGTGGAAAATCCTACAACTGTAAAAATTCACAATTAATAGTCTAAATGGTGAGTAATCTTACTTTTTTGTCTGCCTAGATTCTTGACTGCTTTGCTTTTGAATGATCTCCAACTAAAAATTCAAGGCTAAAATGTACAAAGCTTGTAGAATTCAAAATTGTTATCTTTTACTTCAAATCCCTTAGAGTCCTTTGCTTTTTACTGCTGTGGTTGCTGGTAGATTACAATTGTCTTCTGTAATTTACAACAGCCTGTTCTGAACAATTGTGCTCCCTGATGAAAATGAAAGCACATTTCAGAAGTAGTGGACAGTGTAAGTTCATAATCTTATCCTCCACATGCAAGGGAAAATGAGTGGATGACATGCAGGGATATTTCTCTCCCAGAAGGGCAGATACAGAGCTTATGTCAGCTCTCTCATGAGGTGAAGAGCTTTCGAAAAGAATTCTAAAATTCAGAGGATGAAAACGTTGAGAAGCTTGTTCTAAATTTCAAAGTGCCTATTTTGTATACATTTTATAGATTCACATTGAATAGCCTCACTGGTGATAGTGACATTGGCAAACTGTTCTGTAGCAATTTTCATTTATATATCCCAAAAATCTAAGGAGAGCAGCAGTATATTTGAAAGGATATGCTCCAA